GCAGGGTATTCACTGAGAATATCTTGTCTACTCCAGTTTGTAGGAACCTCTTAAGTTATAGTATTCCTGCTAATGTTTCCATGAGGTTTCTTTCCTCACCATCATTCAAATGCTCACTAGGCCATCCTAATATACCTTTCTGATTGCTGGGTATCCAGATGCAAAAAATAATCTACCATTAAATCTGGTAAACCGGTGCTCAGCAGGTATCTCCATGCAATTTTCAGGAACAGGGCTATAACTACTTTAGATTTGTGTGAAAAATCAATCTCCAGCTTCCAATGTCTGTGCTGGCAGGCGCCACAGAGGTTCTTCACTTACTTCCATTAATACTGAGAACTATGGACTCCTGTACCAGTGAAGGCAAGCAGGATCATTCCTCCTCTACACAGCTTCACCTTGCGTGCTACCTTGGACAGAGTTATCAGCAAAAATGAACAGAGAACATCCCTTAGCTAAGGCGTCATCAGTGCACTGATTTCCTCTGTTTTACTGCCTTGAAACTGGGGAATAAATGTCTGACTTGCATATAGTCTGCTGTTAAACAAATCAGCTGACAGGCTCCCCATCTCTCTGAGATTCTCTGGAAGAGATCTGGATGCAGTGACCTCAGTGAGGACCATCTGTGGTAATGTTCAGACACCCCTTTAAATATTCTGTTAATATGGAAGTCAGATGTCCCTCTGCCCACTTCATCAGGCATTCTGCCTCATACTGGAGGATCTTTGACCTTATCCTGGTGTGACTGTTCATTTAGACTTTTCTTGCAATAATGGCTGTTTTATCAGAATGTCTTTTTTCCTCACTAGGTATTCCACATTTATCAAAATCAAATGCATGGCTGTCTCCAAGCTACTGATCAGCAATAATGAGTTGGACTGGCATCACTGGCCTTGGGTTGAAATGGACTGTAGATGGCATCCCCAGACTGGCAGGCTAGTATCTGTCGTTAATTTCTCCAATTAATTCCTCTTGCCAAGCTGGCTACTACAACCACTGCTAGGATCCAACCACCGTGCATGGGACTGGCAGATGCATCTGGAATCTACAAGATATTATATGAAATTTTTTTGAAATTTTCATACTTTGTGCTTACTGCTGATGCTATGACCTTTGTGTCTATCCTGAGGATGCCTGTTACCTTTTTGCCTGCTTTTCACCTTAAGCAGCTAGATGCATCATCTCTGGAGCAAAAGGAAACAGATGATCTTTAACTACTGCTCTCCTTTGGTGGTGATGGCAAGGACTTTCTGTTCTTATTTTTGACTAAGATGGGATTAGTGAATTCCCCAAACAATTTCTTTCATGGTGCTTGCCCTCAAGACAGGCTCTAGAGTTGTGTCTCACTTCCCAGGGATTAAGCCACAGGTTACTTTATGTTGCTATCCCAGCAGCCATGGCTCTGGCTATATAGTATAGGGTATCCGGAGCTGAATTTGCCATTTGGTCTGAGGGTCTGAGGATTTTAGTAACACCTTCTCTTAAATGTTCTACTTTATGTGGTATCATCTTGAACAGTTCTTGAGCCCAAATTGTTACTCCTCTCAAAGCCACTGATGTTGTAGCATCTGCCCTGATACAAGTGATGCTCCTCACACACCTACCTTAGAAAACTGCAGTATAAACTCCATCAAATCTGTGAGCCGATCTATCTTTGGAATGACTAATTTGGTGATCAGGACTGGGCAAGGTAATCCATTCCATATATTCTTGGGATTAGAAGAGAAAACTTGTCAAATAGTGAACATGGAGTTCTGCTTTTTTTGTTGTTGATTCTAACCATTCTGTACTAATTATTTTTGGGAAAAAAATCAGGAAGAGGCAAGCTCAGATCCACTTTGAATGTGGAAGGCAAGACGGTCAATGCTCCATGAATTTTTTAATACTATTAATAATACTCCTTTTGGTGTCCAGGTCTATCTCAAGGGCTTTTGCCAATTTCTTAATTACTATAGTGCAGGAGTTTGAATTGAACTGTCTTGAACTTTTGTGCTTGCAAGGTGCCTCTGCCCTCACTGGACAGTTGTTCTTCTTCTTTATCTCTACCTTTCAAGAATAATTCTTGGATGTCTCACTTCATTCGCTCAAATGTCTGCTGACCTTTGCGCCTATGAAGAAACCTTCTCCATTTACAGCATTCAGTATTGTAGATGCTAGGCACAAGCTCTTGAGAGTCCTCTTCCCCTCTCTATTTGTCTCTTTGTGTCTCTTAATCCTTCCCTTCTTAGAGAAAGTCCTGTTCCTCTTTTGTCCTCTCTCATGCAAGCAAGATAAAGTACTATAGCTACAGCTGTGAAGAGGGAGGAGGAACAGTTGGAGAATCCTCCAGACATACATGCGGTCTGATATGCTTTTAACCATCCAACACTTGACTGAGCAACAAGAATAGTTCTATTTAAAATACTGTTTCATATGATGGCTGGAAATTTGTAGATGGGGCCGTGTGAGGGTGGGGGCACTGTAGATTGGTTTCAATGGGAAGCTGCCACTTTCCCGGTTCTGGGACATCCTAGTTGGACTTAGTTATTCTCAAATGATGCTGAAGTATGACCAGGCAAAATCTCCAATCTGGCATCTCCATTCTTACCACTCACCATCTTAGTAAAGTATAAGTGGGAAGTCTACTTCTATGTTCTACCTCTCCTGGGAGCAGGGGAGGGGAGGACGCTACTGAAAATACACTTTTGATTAAACAACCAGTGCTTCTATCTCCATTCTTTAGCCAACTGTTGGATGAGAGACTGTCTAGAGCCCAGGTTCAAGGCTGTCCCCTAGTTCTTGCTGGGGAACGGGAGGGAAGTCTGCCAGAAGGCACAGCAATTGGACCAACTGGTTCCTGTTATCTCCTTGTACTGTCTCTTCAACTATAAACTCTTCATTATGGTTAACGGTTTGGCTAAGCATTACTCCATTGTTTCTAAGAAGGAAGAAGGAGCATGTTTACTCTTGTCACGGCTGTTTGTCTGTTCCTCTTCTGTCAGTGCCACTCAAAGAAATATAATAAGCAGAAAAAAGGTAGCAAAAAAAAAAAAAAATAAAGATCATGGGACTCTCTTCTTGCTGTTCACTTCATTCAGGAACAGAAGTGGTGAAAAAAACCCAAACAAAGCTTTCCATGCCAGTTAGGATCACTGCAGGTGCTTCTTGCCAGTTTGTGCTTCCATCTGATCAGCTGCTGTGAACAGATGTGGTGATGAACATAGACATACTGGTCCTTTTCCTATAATTTTTCTTCCCCTCTCTTGAAGTTTTCTCTCATTTTTTAAATCCCTCCCCCTAGAATAGAGTCAAGGGAAAGCCTTTCCTCTTCTGAAGAAGACACAACTGAACCTGAGGAGGAGATGTTAGTTTCCATTGGAATGCAAAATTTTAAGCTCTGTTTTCTGGCCAGATCAGATGGAATTAACCTATTCCTGTCTGGTCCATCTTCAGATGACTGAAAAATTATTGTTCCTTTGTAGAAAGAGAAAGGTAACAAGAGTTAACATGAAAACACAGAGGAATTAATTTGTTAAGTGTGCCCGAGAAGATACTTGGAAGAATTCAAGTATCAGATTGATACAAGAAGTGGCAATGAACAAAATTTGGGAAGTGCAATGCTCATTGTGCTCACTAAAGGACGTATGACCAGATTTGTGTTCTTTAGGCTGTCACTGAGAAATGTATGCGAAAAAATTCACTGTAAGTTCACTGATTTAAAGAAAATGTACAATAAAATGAATAGGCTTGAATTATAGAGTATGGAGTTGAAGGTTGGTTCATGATATACTAAAAGAAATATGTAATAAAAGTAAAGCTTGAGAATAAATGGGATGTTTAGCAAATGTTTCAATGCTGAGCAAGGAGTAAGACAAGGATGTGCACTATGCCCTTGGTTTCTTAATGTACTCCTGGATAAATATCTAATGAATACTTGGATATGAGAGGTGGGTGGGTTGGGTTCATGAATATGCATGTACTTCTGTACACAGAAAGAACTGTAAATTATTGAAATCAGAATAAAAATATTAAAACTTTTGTATTGTATATTTATTTACATTATTAATTTGCAGTTTGTGTATACTGAAAAAAGTATTTTCATGTACAGTTATGAAGAAAGTCTCCAAAGAAGCAATTCTAAGTTGTTCTCCCACTTGCCTTTTAAATTGTGAATATGCATACTGAATCCTTCAGTGAACAGTTAAGATGGAATAATTTTTTCACTATACAAAATGAAAGAACATTACTTCCCAAATGTACAGTTTGATCATTAAAATTCCCCACATTCAGTATGCATTCTGATTAAACTTTTTAAAACTGTGATGTCACAAATAAGAAAAACAAATACATAAATACAGTATTTATCTCTGGAAACAAATTGTTGATTTCACTATAATCATTACTAGCAAAAGATAATAAATCACATTATCCATTAACTAACAAAGATTTTAACAAGTTTTTTCCCCCAAAACATGAAATCTTGTTTTAAGAAGTGATTATAATTTTTGGGTAAAATGCTAAATCATGCATTGCCAATAATTTTGTGCATCATTTAGTGGACTGAAAAACAGACAGAATTTTTTCACATTTATAGATTTTATGTATCTTTTTTTAATGCCCTTTAGGAAATATCATTTGAAAATGCTTCCACATTTACAACTACAAATTGTACATAAAAGTTCAAAACTGGGGTATTTTACGATGACATTTGGTCTCTTTTAAGTCTAAAAATAGTGTGCCTGAAAATATTGATATACATATTAATGACTCTGATTTTGGTTGGAATTTATTTAGTTATTTAAATATATTTATATGGCCCACCCATTTCACAAATGCAACAATGGCAATTGACAAAGATTAAAAAATACAATATAAATACAACATGAAAAATGCATTTCAAAACCAATTTACTTGACTGTTATTTTTAACATTACTTTCAGAACAACAGAAGGCAACTAAATATTATTTCAATGTTACTTCTTACCATAAGCTATCAGAAACCACTTTCTTCACTTACCTTTCTGCTTTTTACGGATTCTCTCAACAAGAGCTCGGATCTGCTGATATTCTTCCCACTCTTTTCCAGGACCTGGAGTTGGACTGCTACATTCTGCAAGGATAAGCAAAAACATAATTTTATGTATGTGTGTAAATGTGTACATTCATCAGAAAATTATTATACAAATACTATAAATAAATTCTATTCGTTCCAAATACTAGAAATATAAATGTACAAAATCTAAAAATCTCTAAAATATTTAAGGGCACAATACCAGAACCCAGAAAGTAGAAGATTTATCTACAACTCAACCACAAACATTTTCTGGACAAGCATTAATTTCCATGTTTGAATACTAAACTGAACATTTTTTCTTTTCCATGTGGACATTCTTATCCCCTTCCCCTGTCCAAAAATTTAGGATAATATACTTACTCTGTAACAATTCACTAATCAAATTCAGTATCTCCTTTGGAGAGACAGCTGTTGTAGCTCCAGTACCTGACTTCTGTGTTTTCACTCGGCTTTTTTTCCCCATCTTCTAGCTTTAAGAGAATAACAGGCAAATAAGCAGCATTCTTTGGTCAATATATAAGCTTCTTTTTTCAACAGATATTTATCAAATTATCTCTCACTCCATAGGCCAAATAACTGTATGTTCTAGCTGGAGCAAGGGGTAGAAGAAAGTGGAAATGAAGAAATGTTGATACAATCTAAATAACTTTTTTAAATTATATATTTAACTTCATTTATTTAAATGAATTAGGAAAAACTTACTATGGAAGTTCTATTATAGCAAAATAGCAAAAAAGTAAGCAGCAGCAATAAAATTCTTGACTAGTAACTTACCAAATTTAATGAACAAAGCAATAGTTTTCTCTCTAGGATTGTGCAGGACATTCAAGACAGGTAATTTGCAAAGTACTTCTCCTCAAAGCATTAAAGCAGCTGCGTGATTTAAAACTGTAGTGAAAGCTGTCTGAGTTGTCTATGCAAGTGTGTATTAAAAGTAATTTCCACAGGAACTACCAGAGAAGCAACTTGTCAGGATCTACACATACAGATAGTTCTCAGTTAATGACTCCCCTGTTTAGCAACATTCAAAACTTATGGTGGCACTGAAAAAGTAATTTTACAACTGGTCCTCAAACTTATGACTGTCACAGTATCCCCACAGTCACAATTCGGGTGCTTTGCAATCAGCGCACACTTACGATGGTTGCAGCGTCCCACAGTCACTTGATAGCCATTTGTGAGCTTCACAGCCAGCTTCCAAGAAGGAGTCAATGGAGAAGCTGGCAGTAAGTTGCAAGTCGCGGTCATGTGATGTCACACTTAATGACCATGATCATTTGCTTAATGACTACAGTGGAAGTGATGCCGCCATGGTCACATGATGTTTCACTTAACAACCACATTGCTTAGCAATGGAGTTGCTGGTCCAACTGCAGTCTAAGTGAGAACTACTGTACATATATGCAAAAATAGTAAAAGATAAGTAAAGGATGTAGTTGCTTTTATGCTTCAAGAAAATGTGCTTTGTATGCACTAACTTTTTAATGCTTTGCACATTTGTGTTTGTTTGTTTCCTGTTTTAAACTAAGAAGGCCCACCAATTGCAACTGGATTTACATGTATTTAAAACTGATAGTGTTAAATAAATTAAAAAAAACAATAATATTCAAGCAAACAAGAAGTGAGTGTTTAACAAGTTTATTCAGCTTGTTGAACATGAAAGTATTCAAAGTATAATATTTAAAAAACTACAAAGGTACAGTGGTGCTTAAAAGTTTATGAACCCTTTTGAATGTTCAATATTTCTGCATAAATATGACCTAAAATAAGATTGGTTCTCCACACAACTAGATAAAGAGAACCCAATTAAGCAAATAAGTGTAAAATACTGTACTTGTTCATTTATTTACTGAAGAAAATGATCCAAAGCTACATTTTGTATATGGTAATATGTGAACCTCTAGAATTATCAGTTCATATGAAGGAGAAATCAATGAGTCAGGTGTTTCAATCAATGGGATGATAATCAGGTGTGAGTGTGGGTGGTCGTGCCTTATTTAAAGAACAGAATTCTGGATATTCACTATCAAAGTCTGATCTTCACAACACATGTATATGGAAGTGTATCATGGCTTGAACAAAGGAGATTTCTGAGGACCACTGAAAAACAGTTGTTGATGCTCACCAAGCTGGAAAGGGTTACAAAACTATTTTGAAAGAGTTTGGACTCCACCAATCCACTGTCAGGTAGATTGTGTACACAAGGAGACAATTCAACACCATTGTTACCCTCCCTGGGAGTGGTTGGTCAACCAAGATCACACCAAGACCAAGGCATGTAATACTCCAGGAGGTCTCAAAGAAGCCCAGGGTAATGTCTAAGGAACTAAAGTCCTCCCTTGCATTGGCGAATGTCAGGAGAAAACTGAACAACAATGGTGTGCATAGCAGGGGTGAAAGCAGAAAGCCACTACTCTTCAAAATGAACATTACTGCCTATCTACAGTTTGCAAAAGATCACGTGGATAAGCCAGAAGGATATTGGAAAAATGTTCTGTGGACAGATGAGACGAAAATAGAACTTTTTGGCTTGAATGGAAAGTGTTATGTTTGGCAAAAGACAAACACTGCATTCCAGCATAAGAACCTTATTTCATCTGTGAAACATGGTTGTGGCAGTATCATTGTTTGGGCCTGCTTTGCTGCCTCTGGACCAAGGCGGCTTGCCATCACTGATGGAACTATGAATTTTGAATTGTATCAGCAAATTCTACAGTAAAATATCAGGGTATCTATCTGTGAACTGAAGCTCAAGGGAAAGTGGGTCATGCAGCAGGACAATGACCCAAAACACACAACCAATCAAAAAATGGTTGAAGCAGAAGAAAAGTTAATGTTTTGAAATGGCCATGTCAAAGTTCTAACCTTACTCCTATAGAAATGTTGTGGAAGGACCTGAAACAAGCAGTTCATGTGAGGAAGCCCACCAACATCCCTGAGTTGAAGCTGTTCTGTAAGGAGGAATGGGCTAAAATTCCTCCGAGCCGATGTGCAGGACTAATAACAGCTGCAGTTATTGCTGCGCAAGGGGGACACACCAGTTACTGAAAGCAAAGGTTCACATAACTTTTGCAAAACAAAAGGGTTATCTTTATCTAACTTCAGAACTTGTGTGGAGAACAGATCACATTTTAGGTCATATTTATGCAGAAATATTGAAAATTCAAATGGGTTCACAGACTTTTAAGCAGCACTGTATTCTTTTAGGAACTTCAGAACTTGTGTGGAGAACAGATCACATTTTAGGTCATATTTATGCAGAAATATTGAAAATTCAAATGGGTTCACAGACTTTTAAGCAGCACTGTATTCTTTTAGGAAGAAACTGGAAGTGCTGATAAAAATGCTTAGCTAGAAGTAGCAAAATCACATATTCAAATAAAGAAAATCTAACTAATTTGGCATAAAGTAAAAATTAGGAACAAAAGCAGCAAGTATTTATTCAATCTCCCACTCTAACTCTTTTTGCCAAAGATTTTTTAACTTCTTTTCACTAAAACCCTTCCTTCCAATATACCAGTTTTGGACAACAAAACATGTACAAGTAGTCCTTGCTTAATGAACACAATAGGACTGGAAAATTGGTAGTTAATAGGTGCGGTCGTTAAGCGAGTAACCACGGGACTGGACTTGATTTTACTACCATTTTTATGTTGGGTATTAAGTGAATCACCATGGTTGTTTAGCGAATCACATGGTCATTAAGCGAATTCCGCTTCCCCAATGGACTTTTTTGCCAGAATTCACTTAATGACCATGTGATTTGCTTAATGACCATCATAAAAAAGATCACAAATTGCAATCACGTGACTGCGGGGGTGGTGTAACAGTTTGCAACAGTGACAAGTGTGAGTACAGGTCATAAATCGTTTTTTTGAGGCTGTCATAACTTTGAACCATCATTAAACAAAAGGTTGTTAAGTGAGAACTACCTGTACACTCAATGCTAAAAGGAATTAATGTATACATGTAAGTATCCATCTGCCAGGGAATTACATTTGGCTGGTCCCAGGAGGCAGCCCTTCTCTGCCGTGGCACCCACTTTGTGGAATTTTCTCCCCCCATTAGTGAGATTGGCTTCAACCCTTTCAACATTCCTCAAGTCCCTCAAGACCTGGCTGCTATCAGGCCTAGGGGTCCCAGGGGACCGGGAAGATTTTGCGATGGCCCCCTTACTAATATTAACCTTTCCTGTTCTGTGTGCTTTTTACAGTTAATTTTTCATTGTGACTGTTTTTATGTATTTATAGTTTTTAATTAAGTTTTGTATGCCACCCAGAGTCACTTTTATGTGGGATGGGTGGCTATATAAATATATAAATAAACTAAGTAGGTTCATTAATATATGATTTTACAATTTAAAAATATGATGACAATATTAGACAAATATCTGAAAGCCAAGTGCCGTACTAAGTATTTCATGGCTGAATGATTGCACAATTTATTGTTATCATTGCAGACAAAAAAATTACAACATATTCCATAATTAGCACAAAAAGCAAAGGAAAAATTATAGTCTCTACCCTAATCTAAAACAAATCCTTAAGTTTTTCTTTATCTCATTTGAATGTTTAAGGGCAAACATAGTTTCTACAAATCTTTGTAGTGCTTTAAAAAATGAAAGGACAGGTCCATACCCAGAATGGCCTATCGTTTAGAAAGTCAGTTACAGTCTGACTGGCACAGGGTTTAGGATCTCTGTCAATTTTTTTAAAGTATAAGAACAAAATTTCTTATGATGCGAAGTCAAATAAATATTTTAAAATGTCTAAATATTGATAGATATAATCCACATAAACTCTCTGGGGTCCTCAATCATTTTTAAGAATGTAAAAAGGTCTGAGACCAAAATGTTTAAGAACCACTCATCTAAGCAGAAATTAAAAGAATAAATGTATTTTGGTTGCCAAAATTCTCATACCACTTGCAAATACATTTTTATAATATATATTGTACCATATCTATTTAGGGCTACAAGGATTATCTCTGGTAAAACAAATAAGAATCTAAAAATATATTTCAGTACACTGCAAAGATACATGACACTTCCCTGATTTAAATCAAGAAATAAATAAATTTTTAACTCAGGATTCAGATGTTGAATAAATGCAGTTACTTAGCAGATATGTATTCTATTTGCTTTAGCAAATCATACTGATGTGCAAAATTATGCAGATTAAAAGCATAATTCAAAGCTTCTGGTTAGACTTTTTTTGTCACGTAAAATTATTTCTGTACATAGACAAACCATGTAATATTTATTATAATGATTATATGGATTCATTCCAATCCGAGTATAGGCTTGGTTTTAGTGCACAGAAGGGGGAATGGTCAATTCCTGATATAACAGACAGAATGTGTTTTGGTTCTTTTGAAACTCTTCAATAGCTTCAATAAATCATATTTCTATATTGATTATCTTGTCCTTCTTTCTGCACTTCTTTCTTACCCAAATTAAGTCTCAGTTTCT